AAATTCCTGTATACTTCTTAGTTGAGACTCAGGAATCTGTATTTTAACAACTCCACCAGATGATTCTCATCATGAGAGAAGTTTGGGAAACACTGGATTAAGGTATCACATATTTGTCCTCAACCCCCCATTCCAATCCCCCACCGCCCCCACTCATGTCCCCACCTCCCTCTTGTCCTTTGCTCTTTATCTTTTAATAGCCAGCTTGAAAGTCACTGCCTCTGTGACATCAGACTAATAATAATATAATTATTTTATATAGTACTGATTTGTGTAAATTCAAATCACTTGAATAATGTGACTTGAACATGTCACATAAGTGCATAGTTAATAATACGTCTCTTACTGGTGTGCCATGGCAGGCACTGTGCCATAAGAATTTTTTAAGACATGAAATACCTGACTATTTGGTCAGGGGTACTGACCTATTTTCTCTTAGACTGTCAAATAAAAAAACTGACAACAGCCAACACAATAGCCATCCAGTGAAAATGAATAAAAATTATACCTATTTTTTGGTCAAACTGCACAATATGTATTTTTTTTGATATTGCATAGAATTTTAGTAATTAGCTTATGCATGCCATGAGATGAAAATCACTGTTCTATCCATTGCTGCTTGGTTACTCTACTAGCAATAATTACATAGGTATATAACCGCAGAAGGAAGCACTTAATTTAGGTTTAAGAGTTATTTTACACAGACATTTGAGTTGTGTTCTTAACAGTTTGCTTTTATTCCAACTCCTTGGCTCTTTTTTAGGAATATCTTTATTCCAACTCCTTGAATCATTTTAAGGAAGGCCACAGTGTATAATTGTTTTGCTTTGTTTAAAATTAGGACTCTCTAGGCTCTAAACAAATAAGAGACATTTAAAATAGTGGGACATCCATATATATATTTTTTGACATGTTGAGTTTCTGCATATCAATTTTGGTTACAGGATGTGTTTTCAGATAGGAAGTAAGAGGATGTGAATTCTGTTTTTCTTCTTCCTCCTTTTGGCTTGGAAGCCACAGGAAGCCAGCTTGCTAACTCCCTGATACCTGATATTTCCCCGACTAAAAAGACTCTCGGATGATGATCAGCATTTTCTCAAGGCAGAAGTTGTGTGTTCTCTTCCGAAAGACACCGATGTCCCTTAAAAGGGTCCAGAGTATTTCCTGCAAAACTGCTTCCGTCAGGAGAGCACCTATTAGAGCTATTATCAAAAAGGCCGAGGGAAGAAATAAATGCATTTTTTCTGCAGCAGAAAAAAACAAACCCACCCCAAAACAGGCAAAGCACTTGAACGTCAGCAAGATTAGAAACGAGGAGGGAAAAGCAAATAACTTTTTAAATGAAAATTTGATTTTAAAAAGTGAAAGATTATCCTTTACCTCTCTACTTTGTTTTCTCACTTCTTTCTCATTGCTGGAATTTTGTGAAATACACAGAAGCAGTTGTGTTAACATACTGAATTTGTTTAAAAAAAATTAGGAAGATGATTTGTTTGTGTGATTTGTCATGGAATCAATATTTATGCAGATTGAAATCTATATGTAGTCACAAACAGAAGGGTTACTTTCCTAGGACAATTTCGGAATCTCCCCAGATGGGAAAAAAATTCAGCAATCGACAAACGACTCAACATTCAGGCAAGGGCCCATACCATCCAGCTAATTCCATGCCGGTGTGAACTGTTCCTTCTCCCTCAAGTCTTTATGGATCATGATCCCAGATTCTCTTATCAAACTCCATCTGGCTGAGCTGCAGGCAATACCCACGCTGGGTGCTGACTGAGGGCCACCACTGGAGGGCGTCTGGACGCTTCCAAACAGCTCCAAAGCCCAGGAAATCCTCAACTTCCCAGCCTGAAAGAGCAGGACAGACACAACGTTAGATTTGATTGTGTTGGGCTAATCAATAAAGGGGAGAACAGGTAAGTTTGGGAGCAAAACTACCGTGCTCCCTTTCTTGGGATCAGCTTTTCCTCACGGAGGCAGAAAACTCCCTAGCAAGCAAGAAAGCATGATCCCAGGCAGACTGAGCCCGCGGAGCCCCGCGAGGGAGGGAGAGCCTTCAGGGTTTGCAGCCCCGCTGAGCCCGGCGCCTGGCTGGCTTCCCGGGCGCGGGGGACTGGGGCGCGCGCCGTCCGGGGCGCCCAGGCGGCCTCGCTGTCAAGCGATCGCGCCCCCGGGGCCACAGGGCTGCAACCTGCAACCTGGAAGTCCAGCAACGCGAGGCCTTTTCCAATAACAAGGCACCTTAGGTTCCCTCCCGAAAAGATTTTATTCCAAACCATGTATCCTTTGGGGAGTGGGGAGCGAACCCAACCCGGGGTTGAAATGGAAAGTGTGGAACGTATTTCTGATGGACTCTCCTGCTGCACTCATTGGCTCCCTGCGGCACGGTCCCACTGAATGGCAATCACTCTGCATACTCTGGAATTTTTTTAAAAGAGTGTTTTCAGGAAAGTCATGCTTCCTGCTCATGAACCTTTAAGATCCCTTGTAGGAAGCGGGGAATTGGAAGGCACAGGAGAGATGCTCAGCTTCCCAGATAGCCGGGGCCATGGCTGGCTGGGAAGTCCAGGGCAGAGATTTACAAGGACCCCTATTTACCCAGGCTTTCTGCCAGCGGGTTCCTGTCCTCCGAGGGGTCCCCGGGAGACACATGCCGGCTCTCCTGGAACCGATTCCTTTGTAATAGAAAAACCCCCAATCTCAGGTAAAACATGTCACATCATTCATTCCTCAGCGCGGACGGCATTCAGCACCCAAAGGGTTACGCGCGGCCGCTGGGCTGGGGTGGGGAGGAGGGCGCCCGGCACTCCCAGTAATTCAATTAGTCAGGAGGAAGGTGGGGCCGGGAGGGGGCGGGAGGCAAAGGGAAGGGAGGGGAGCAGGAAAACGCCTCTTTCTCTGGGAGCAGCCAATCCGGTGGGCGAAAAGAAAGAGGAGAAAAAAACACACAAAAAACCAACCCTGGATCTGTAAGCAAACAGCAGGCTGTTCCTTGACTGGCTGCTCCACGCACCCAACCTTCCCAAGTACCCTGCACGGGGGAGCAGGGGAGGGTGTGAGGGGAGCAGCCCCCCGGACCCGGGCCGCGGCTGCAGCGGCTGTGGCGGGCGCTGGCCGGCGGCGCCTCCCCCTGCTCGGTCCGAGCTCTCCCCGCGCCCCCCGCGCCCCGCGCCTCCCGGGTCCGCGCCCCGCGCGCCGCCTCCTTCCCGGGCGGCTGCTGGGTCGCGGCTGCTGTCGGCTTTACACGCAGGTCATTAACGAGGGGCGTGCCCGAGCAGATTTTTCCCATAAAGCATCCCCCCCCCCCTTTTTTTTTTCCTTCTCTCTTTTGCAAAACTGACTTTTACCCCTTCCCACTTCTCGCCAGCCGTTTCCATCCCTCCCGGGCTGCCGGGGCTGCCGCCGCCGCCGCCGCACGCAAGTTTATTTCCCCGCCCGGTGGTGGTGGGGGGGGGTGAGGATTCGGTTGGCGGTTTGCACCTCTCCTGGCTGCTGCGCCCACGGCGGGGAAGACGGGCAGCTGCCGGAGGACCGGAGAGGTTTTCTGATGTAGTCATCGGGGAGGTGCTGCTCGCTCGTGCGCTCCCCCCGCCCCCCCCACGCCCTCCCTTTCACACTGATTGATGCGTCTCTACAAGTTGCTGCTGGGCTTGGGGCCGAACCCGTCGGAGTCGCAGGGACACTTCTGAGCAGCTCACTCGGGGCTCGGGGCGCTGCGTCCCGAGGGGGCTCCTTCCTGCGCCCGGAAGGAAGGCGATCGGAGACGGACACCAGCCCGTCCCGGAGCTGGAGGGATTCGTTGGAAAGTGATTGTTTCCCCTCCCGCTCCTGCAGCCGAGCGGCTAGGGCGGCGTCGTCCTGAGGGTGCGAGCATCCCAGCTCCGCCCGCCCGGCTGGCTGGTGACCTCTGCTCTGCCTTCACCTCGGAGCACCCACACCCGCCAAGAGAAGCAGCGCGGGGAACCCCGAGGCCAGCGCCCGCGGGGCCGTCTCCCGCCGCCGCCGCCGCCGCCGCCGCCGCAGTCCGCCTCCGCCGGGGACCTGCTGGAGGACGCGGAGAGCCAAACTTTTTTTTTTTTTTTTTTTTTTTTTTTTTTGAGGTTTACGAAGCAAGACCGCTCCTCCTCGCCGCCAGCTTCCTTGCCGCTTAACCCATTCCAGGACGCCGGCGGGGCTGGGTTTGTGGCTTCTGGAGAGATCCCACCCTTCCTAGCGCACCGCCCCGAATCCGCAACACCTCCGACTCCTCCGCGATTGCTGGGGCTGCCCAGCGAAGGCACCGAGGAGGCGGCCACCGCCGGCGCGAAGCCCCCCATCCGCACGGAGCTCGCTCTCCGTCTGCAGTTTCCCACCGGCCGCCGCCGAAGTAACTTGGAGGAGCGAAGCCAAAGCGGGGCGCAGCGCGAGAGCCCCGGGCGGCGGGGACCGGAGCCAGGCCCGCGGGCCGGTGCATGTCTCCCTGCGGCCGCGGCGCGCAGCAGCCCCCGGTGACCGCGCAGCAGCCCCCGGTGACCGCGCAGCAGCCCCCGGTGACCGAGCAGCGAGCGCCGCCGCCGCCGCCGCCCGGCTCGGCGCGCACCTCCTGCTCCCGGGGTGACCGGCAGCCGCCGCCGCCCTAGACACAGCTTGGCACCCCGTACCCCGCCCTCGCCGCCGCCGCCGCCGCCGCACACTCGCCTGCTTCTCTCCATCTTGTGATTTCTTTTTTTCCTTTTGAACCCTCCAGTGGGGGTGCGAGTTTGCATTCAGCCCCTCCGCGCCGCTGCCTCTCTTCTCCTCGCTCTCCCCCGCCCCCAGCTTGGTGTGTGCCTTTCCCTCTCCTCCTTCCTCTTCCATTTTATTTATTCCTATTTATTTGGCTTCCTGTTCTCTCTCTCGCTCTCGTGCTCTCCCTTCTTCCCTCCATCTCTCCGGATCCCTGCTCTCCCCCCCCTCTCTCTACCCTCTCTCCCCCCGGAGCGGCGCGTCCGGCGCTCCGCCGCTGGCCGGGCGCGATGCCGCACGTGGAGATGTTGACGCTCCTGTTTCTGCTGCTCTGGATGTGTGTGCGCAGCCAGGACCCGGGCTCCAAGGCCGTCGCCGACCGCTACGCCGTCTACTGGAACAGCAGCAATCCCAGGTAAGGCAGGAGGGGGCGAAGAGTCGGGGCTGCCCGGGCCTCGGGGCCCTGCGGAAAGGAGCCGCGGCGGCGGCAGCGGGGACCGGCGAGCAGCGGCCCCGGCAGCGCGCTGCTGGCTTCGGGGCGCCGGCGGGAAGCGCCCCGTTGCGCCTCTTTGTTAAACCACCGCGGAGAGAGAGGCCCGGCGCCTCCGGGAGTCCCGGGTCCACCCCGACCGGCTGCCTCTGCGGAGAGAGCGTGGAGACTCAGAATAGGCGGGAGCCCGGGAAGCCAGACTTCCCCCGCTGACCCGCCGGGCCAGGGTGGCCAGCATCCCGGTACCGGCGCGGGGCTGGGTCCCGGGCAGTCCTGGGGCGCGCCTCCGCCAGCTCCGGCCTGCAGCGTGGGTGCGCAGGGATGGCAGGGAGACCCGCCAAATACCCCCAAAGTTGTTTTATTTTCTTTAAAAAAATTTTTCTTTTCTTTTCTTGGTGCTTTCAAAAAGCGCACGGGGCTGGGGGAAGTGAGGGGGGCAGGGAAGCGGAAGCTTTAGGTTATTTTCCTCTTTTAACTGCAAGGAAATGATCCGGCCCCTGGGTCAGCCCGGGCCCGGCGGGCGCTCTTGGCAGTGGCGAAGATTCTCCCACCTCCTCCACCCCTGGTGGGCTCAAGGTGCCAAAAAGTTTGATCTAATGCCGGGTTACATCATGTGTGCAGGGCGAGCTGCTGGAGTTGGCAGAGCAGGGAGGTGGGAGCGCTTCGTCCCCGGCCCCGGCAGGGTGCAGCCGGGGGAGCAGGCGCGGTCCCCGAAGCCCACCGTGTCCGCCAGAGGCTGGAGGTGGGCACCCGGGGCTGCCCGAGCGCGGCTGCTGGACGGTGGCCACCAGCGGACACCCCTTGTTCACGGACACTGAGTGTGGAGTTGGACCCCCCCCCCCTGCACCCCCCAAAATCCAGAACAGCTCCGCTCAGCGCCCCACTTTCTCCCAGGCCTGTGGGCAGCAGTCTGCCCCCCTGGGTCCAAATTGCTCTGCCTCTCTGGGACCCAGGCCAGCTTCCAGCTGCGGGCTGGCTTCGATGCCCGCCCAGGAGGGACATAACATTATTTCCCAAATCTCAGCTTTCCCCACCCTGGGCTGGAGTGAAAGTTGCAAGGACAGTGGCGGGATTCCTAGAGCAGAGCTGATGGCTGCTGTGCGCCCAGCTCGCCTGGGGAGAGGAGTGTGGAGCGCGCTTCCAGTGCCTCCTGCCTCCCAGTGGACCTCTCCGCGGTCCTCCCGCCTTCCTGCTTCTGCAGGCATGGGAGGGATTTCCCGCTTAATGTCATCTCAAGTGAAGATAGGGGCAGATTCCCCCAATGGCGGCCCACCGGTTGCCAAAAGGAGAAAGAGTACCCCCCTCCCCCCACCGTCCGCCCGCCCTACTACCCCAGGAAAGATAGTCACACTCAGGTAGTCCAAGCTCTCCTTGCTTGCCTGGCAGAATTGGGAGTTGGAGACATCCCTGAAAGTTTGGTTTAAGAAGAAGGAAAAAAAAACAAAAAAACTTGTGGAGGTGGGTGGTGGGATGGGAAGCTATTTCTTTGACATGCCACTTACCACTATTAGAAAAAGAGAAAAAGAAGCCATCCTGCCAGAGGAAATGCCTTTTATTAAAGCTGACAAGACAAATAGATCAAGCTTTGCAGTTGTGATGGTGTTAAAAGCAAGCCTCATTATGCTGGTTGGTTTGGTTCCCCTTTGGGCTTTATTAGACAGCATATACAAAACGGAGGAATTTATATTTGTAAACTTTTAGTGCCTTATTAAGCAAAATAACAGTGGCATTTGGGGCATTTTGCTCTTGGTTGTCCTTCCTTTCCCATGCCAAACTTCATAGCGTGCTCTCTTTCTCACTAATTTATTTGGGTACTTGGATGTTATAGTCATCTGGGTTAAAACAAAATCAATGGATAGATACCCCTCTACCCTTACTTCTTAACATGCCAAGCTAATCTGAGTTAGTGTGAGGACATTTTATCTTAGGTTATCTCTGTTTTATGCTTTTGATACTGTTGTTTGGTTTAAGATTAGCACATTGATTTTTGTCACAGATCATGTTTTTAACAGCTATGCTCTGTCTGCAGAAGTCTTCTGCTCAGGATGCCATGGTATCTTTGAACCAGCCCAGAAAAAGTTAATCAGTAGAATTTTTAAGGTCCAAGAATATGCTCCAGTCAGTATTCTCATTTGAGGTTTGTGGAAATGCCTTTCTATTTGATCATTATCACTTTGATAATGTTCAAAAGAAAGAATGACAGACCTCCCTTCCCAAGAGATTCAGTCCCAACTTTAGTATTCTTAGGGGTTTATGGATTTATTTAAACTTCCTATATTATTGCACTAAAGTTTACTTTAGAAATAATATAATTTTATAAATCTGAGTGGCAGATTTGTCTCTACTGTGTTAAATAAGACGGTGCTTTTTTGATGCATTAAAAAAAGTCAGCTTGGATGTAGTTTAAAAGGAACCAAATGCAAAGTAAGTAATTCAGAAAAAAAAAAAAAGTGTATCACAAGATAGTGACACAGGATTTTAGAAAATTAGCACAGTTTTACTGACTTCTATAAATTCTGTGTTTTACATTTCCCTTTCATATATCTTATCATTACCAAGATAATCTAGTCATGCTTTTTGGTTTTGCATAAACCCTATCTTTTAAGATTGCTAAACTAATAACATAATCAAAAGACTTCAGCCTTTTGGGAAAAAGTAGAAAACTTTAATTGCAACCTAAATGGATTCTTAATATTTTTCTCTTAAAGACTTAAAGTTCAGTGGACACATTAAGCTGCTATGATACCATGCAAGTGAAATAAATATATTTTAGCATATGCCAATCAACTTCAATTTATGTTTAGATAAAATTAGAATTAAGTATCACATCTTGATCACAGGGTCTAAATAGTTTATATTATAACTTGTGTAGGCGTAGGAATTTATTCGCTACATTGTGTTTCATTACTGACTCCATTGATACCATAAGTATCCATTGATTTAGGTTCACAGATGAGAAAATATTAAACGTATTTGCTGTCAGATAGTTTTACTGTCAGAATCTATCTTCCCAGGTATTCACTTCTGGGAAGCGGATGCTCAATTTTCAAATGCTGATAACTTTTTAGTTGCCAGTACTTATTGGGCAGTGGTCCAAACTAATTTCATGTGTTGAATTGGCACAAATTTCTGAAGTAGCAACTGAAAACTATCAGTCTGAGTAGAAATGCATGGTAACATTTGCCTAAGTGCATATTTCATATTTAAAAAATTTGAAAACCTATATGAATTTCACCCAAATAGTGAGAGTAATAGAATGATCTTGTTAAGACACGTTATTCTGAATTCTGAACTGGCCTGTTACTCAATAACTTGGAGTAATGAAAATCCAAATCAAGGAGAATATAACTATTTGTCCTTGGTTTGTTTAAGAATGTAAAAAGCTTTTAGATAACTTTTTAAAAGACTTTTAGTAATAAAACTTTATTGACTCCTTAGTGGCTACTCTTATAAAGATACAATTGACTCAATATTAAGAACATCCTACTTAATCTGAGTGAAGGACGCTATAAACCGTTTGTTGCTTCTAATGAAAATATTCTTTTACATAGTGTGTGTATATGGAAAAGTTCTTGGATTCTTTTGACCAGTTGCCAGATTGATGCTAGGATAATTAAAGATGCCTCCCACTGTTTAGTGTTAATGGATGGAATAAAGGCAAAATACAACCAGCACACTTTAAGAATACTGATTCTTCTCACTTTAGTGCTTTGCTTCTGTTCGGGGTTGAGCATCACCCATTTAAAATGTTATTCTCTCACAAGAAAACATACCTCTGTAATTCATTTGGGATTTACTAAAATTTTAACCTAATCATATGTTTTCTTTGGGCTTTTCAGTTCTTGCAGAGACTTGTAGATTAAATATTTAATGTGAGGATAGCAGGTAATTGACAACATTTAGTTTTGTTAACATGTAATCTTGAAGTTGTGAAAGTGATGTAAATTCCAGGTCAACACTCCCAAATCTTCTAGCCTGTAGGTCATATGTATGAGGCTAAGTAGAGAGAAGTAATTTTTTCTAAAGATGATTCCTGAGTATTTTTCCTCTTTCAAAATTTTATGTTTTATTTTTTAAAATCTGACCCATCAGTGTTTTAATGCCAGCACGGTGCCTTTTCCACTGACAAGTAAATGAAATCAGTTTGGTTTAACTCTAAAAACTGGTTCTGAGAAAAGGTGGGAAATTAATTTTTGTTTTGAATAAGTTTTATTTCCAGACTTGTAAAGTATTTAACTTTATTTTTGAAAGTCTCGGAGTTTTAAGTAATATTGTTTAAAAAAATATTTTTATTTCAAGTAAAAGGCATTACTTAAAATTTCTTGAACTTTATTGACTCTGAGCTTTAATGTATATCAGTTTAGTAGATATAATGAGGTAGGTTTTTATTTTGATATTTATTCATATCAGCACTTATAAAAACACCCGGATAGAAATAAAGCTGCATGACGGAGATTTATATGTCATGTTTTTACCCCTATTCATTTAGGAAAGCTGAATTCACTCTTCCTTGTATTCCCCTCTTTTATCTAGACATTTATTAAAGGGAAGTATGCTTCTTGTTGTTGGACAGTTTTCCACAGAAGTTTGAAAAGTGAAGCCGGTTACTGAGATGTCACGTTTCACCCACTGGATGCATTTTATTATATTCTCATAATGAGCTATCAGAAGTAGTCACCTGTCTTAGGTGACGGGAACATCCGTGCTTGTGGCACACTTGTCTGTACAGTCTAGTTGGGCATTTCCAGTGTGAGGCCGACGTTAGAAAACTCCTTGTTATTAAAAGAATCAGAGAGAGCCTTCAGTCGTTGGTCACTCCCTGTTAGTTGATTTTAGTGGCATTAACTAAACCATTGGTTCCCTGAACGGATGTCTTGTTGCCATGTGTCTTCTGGCTGATAATCAATAGCTTTAGAGACTTCCAC